ATTTCTTTCAGAGAAAGGAAGCTTTAGAAACCAAATTCTGGGGGCCAAGTGTGCTCAGTTTCTGGGCCCTTTTCAGGGACAATGCAAAATCAACGCAATAGAGTTCTCCTTCATCTTTCCCCTATTGAATTCCCTTCTCCTATTATGAGAATCCTGGTTCCAAACATAATTATGTTGGAAAGTACATAGTGGAGACCTGAGCTTCAAAAATAGAAAAGTGTTACTAGTGCATAATTAGACTTGGGAATTGGTCTTACATTGGCCTCTTTGAACACTTTGGGGGAAAAAGTTGGAACAAAAATAATTTTTTTTAAGCCTTCTTAAGAAAAATTTTTAAAAGTGTGATCATTAAGATTATTAATAGCATTTTTAGAGCTTTTTATATCAGAAATGACATAACACTTCTGGACATACAGAAGAAGAGTAATTCCTGTTTATGTGGCCTTTCATACTGCTTTTATTAATGCGCTCTACAGATACGTGGACAGTTCAAAGGCTGTTATTGAGACAGCAGATAGAGCCAAGCTGCAACCTATAGCTTTAAGCTGTGTACTGAATATTGGTGCTTGTAAACTGAAGATGTCAAATTGGCAGGGAGCAATTGACAGTTGTTTGGAGGTAAGTCTGTTTAATCTTGAACTTTTTGAGTAAGTTGGATTAAGACTTAGTTTGAATAGTAGCAATTTTTATATATATTAATATATCTTATTGCATAGGACCTATTGAGGCTTAAGAAAACATTTTGTTTCTAAATATTTTGGACCCTCAATTCTTTCTCTGCATTCATTTTGCTTATAACTGTCACTCAACAGCCATGAAGATCCTTGCCTTTTTTTCTCGAAGCACATATATCAGCTCATGTATTTACTTAAGAGCACCTATTATGTGTTAGGCATTGGAAGACAAAGTTAGGAATGATTAAGAATGTGGGTTATGGAGTCAGTCAGGCGTGGCTTTTTTTCTTCTTCTTTTTTTTTTTTTTTTTTGGAGACAGAGTCTTACTCTGTCACCCAGGCTGGAGTGCAGTGGTGCAGTCTCCGCTCACTGCAACCTCTGCCTCCCAGGTTCAAGTGATTCTCCTGTCTCATCCTCCCGAGTAGCTGGGATTATAGGCGCATGCCACCATGCCCAGATAATTTTTGTATTTTTAGTAGAGACAGGGTTTCACCATGTTGGCCAGGCTGGTCTCAATCTCCTGATCTCAGGTGATCCACCTGCCTCAGCCTCCCAAAGTGCTGGGATTACAGGTGTGAGCCACCATGGAGTCGTTATAGAAAGTTATATAACATAATGTAAGGCATTTAGTGTAGTGCGTGGCACATTTTAAGCACCTAACAGAGACGAGTTATTTTAATTAAAAGATCCATACCCTCAAGAAGCTTAAATAAGTGATTCAGTTTCAATTTAGGTTCATCAGGACTTGTGTATGGAGAATGGGTTCTATTGGAACAGGTCATTTATCTTTAGGAGGACCATCCAGGTATGCTAACTGATAAAGCTAGAAAGGTGGCAGTTTTACCTTCCTCAAATAGAGCAATTATGACTCTCTTCCCTGTTGTGCAGTTTGAAAAGTTTTCCAAATGAAACATTTTAAGAATTTTACATATTAAGCCATGTACCTAGACAAGCTATGCTCAGAGCAAGTAGAACTAAAATGAGATCCTAATTTGGTAGGGTAGATGAAATAAGGGATAGGAATATATTTAGAAGGGAGCATACAACAGAGGAAAAAACTTATCAAAAGAAAGGATGGGTCTTCCCTCTGGGTTTCTTGTTTGTTTGTTTTGCTCTGTCACCTATGCTGGAGTGTAGTGGTGCAATCAAAGTTCACTGCAGCCTCAACCTCCTGGGCTCGGGTGATCCTCCCACCTCAGCCTCCTAAGGAGCTGGGACTACAGGCACTCGTCACCATACCCCGCTGATTTTTAAATTTTTTGTAGAGATGGGTTTTCGCCATGTTGCCCAGGCTGGTCTCTTAACTCCTGGGTTCAAGCTGTCCACCCACCTTGGCCTCCTACAGTGCTGGGATTACAGTTAAAAGCCTCTGTGCCAGCCCGGATCTCTTTTTGACCTGTGAGGCAGATAATAAAATCTAAGTATGGGCCGTTAAAAGATGTTACATAAACAAAAGATAATTTTAAAATGTTTGTTCTAGGGGAGAGACCTGATGCATAACGTCTCTTAGGTTAAAAGACCTTTTGTAAGAAAAAACCTAGGTTGGGTATGGTGGTTCATGCTTGTAATTCCAGCACTTAGGGAGGCCACAGTGGGCAGATTGCTTGATCCCAGGAGTTTGAAACCAGCCTGAGCAACATGGTGAAACCCTGTCTCTAAAAAAAAAAAAAAAAAAAAAAAAAAAAAATTAACCTGGTGTGATGGCACGTACCTGTAGTTTTAGCCACTCGGAGGCTGAGGTGGGAGCAGCACTTGAGCTTGCGAGGTTGAGGCAGCAGTGAGCTGTGATCAGGCCACTGCACTCCAGCCAGGGCCACAGAGTGAGACCTTGTCTTTAAAAAAAAACTTAAGAGTTTATAACTTAAGAGTTATTAAGTTATTAATGTTCCTAAAAAACTTATAATTCAAGTGAAAAGTATATAAAAATTTTTCTTCAAAATGATTTTCTCTCATAAGTTAGTTCAGGCCTATTTGGGAGATTGAAACCACAGTGTGGGGAGCATACTGGAAACTGGTAGAGAAATATCTTTCTCCCCCATGTCCATTCAGTGCCCTCTGCTGACAAAACTTACTGCCCACTGGCAGAGGAGAGCTATTTGCAGGTTTCAGCTCCATTTTCACAGAGCAGTGAAGGATGGGTTTGGGGTTGATAGGCAATGAATTGAAATCTGGCATATAAGCTTAATACGTAATACTTTGATACAAATACTAGCTTTATACTTTTTTGTAGGCTCTTGAAATAGACCCATCAAATACCAAAGCATTGTACCGCAGAGCTCAAGGATGGCAAGGATTAAAAGAATATGATCAAGCATTGGTAAATTTTGTTCCAAATGTTTAATTTTTAAAAATAGACAACTGCCTCTATAAATCATACACCTAACTTAAATGTGTTTTTCCAATTAAAGGCTGATCTTAAGAAAGCACAGGAGATAGCACCAGAAGATAAAGGTAAGTTGGCAGCTTTTGTAGTGAAAGTTAGTTTTGTTATTTAAAAATTTATCCTCAGGAACCATTGTTCACTTTGCCAGATTTTAGATGTTTGTTCAAAAGATATTACAGAATGCCTGCTGTTGGGCCAGGCGTTATCATACAGCAATGAACAAGACAGTCAAAGTCCCTGTCCTCAAAGAGCTTACATTCTACTCCCGCTCAAGAATATACTAGTTTTTCACATTATTTATTCTTCAAGTTATCATCTCTGTAGTTTTTTATATGTCTAAATACTGTTTGTCTTATGGTATCCTTTGAGACTCTGTTCCTATTCTGGTTATTCTAGTCGAGAGCTCAGCATCGTAAGACACAGTATTCATGGTAAATTTAACATTTGGGACCATTCTTCAAGCTGAATGTAGCCATAACCTTAGTACTGAAGTACTGGTTATATGTTTTAGGAAACTATGACAAAAATAAGCTTGTTTTTCAAATAAACCAACTATGAATAGTGACACTAGATCTGGATATTACAGAATGTCTTTGGTCTCTTATTACTAAAATGAAACAAGGGAAGCAGTTACTGTTCCCTAATGTAGAGGGAGAAGGCAAGTCTTGATGTGCTTGAGTTCTCTCAGTTGACAGTCCTCTAAAATTACGTTTCATTTCGGTTGTTTGTGAGATTGCTCAGATTTTCTGTTACTAGGGCTTACTTTATGGAGAAGTTTTTTCAAGGGGTAGTTAACATTAAAACAGTTCGTTAGTCACCATAATTTTTTGGATATTTTGAGAAATAACTCACACTGCATATTTATTTTACAGCTATCCAGGCAGAACTGCTGAAAGTCAAACAAAAGATAAAGGCACAGAAAGATAAAGAGAAGGCAGTATATGCAAAAATGTTTGCTTAGAAAAGATTCAGTTTTGCTTATTGTGTGTTGATTGTGTAAATGCAATAAGAAAATGTAAAGGTTTTTGTCTATTAATATGATCCCTAATGTGTTTCTTTTGACACCTTAGTTCCTTATTGTTTACAGTTTAGGAGTACTGATAGGGGTTCATGCTTAATAAACGTGTCACAATACAGTCAGTAAAGTGGTTTTGTTTGTTTCTTTGAGATGGAGTCTTGCTCTGTCACCCAGGCTGGAGTGCAGTGGTGCGATCTTGGCTCACTGCATCCTCTGCCTCCCGGGTTCAAGTGATTCTCCTGCCTCAGCTTCCCAAGTAGCTGGGATTACAAGCATATGCCACCACGCCCGGCTAATTTTTGTATTTTTAGTAGAGATGGGGTTTCACCATATTGGTCATGTCACTCTGGTCCTGAACTCCTGACCTCATGATCTGCCCCTGCCTTGGCCTCCCCAAAGTGCTGGGATTACAGGTGTGAGCCACTGTGCCCGACCAAGTAAAATGTTTTTTAAAATGGTTATCTGCATTATTCATAAAGAATAATGGTGTTGTAAAGACACATCTTATTGAATAAAGAGATGACAGTTTAGTTTGTATATTGTTTCCTTCAATTCTTTGATGTATCTATGGTTGGCTGATGCTAAGTTTTCATACTTATAGATAATACACACACGCACACACACAGACACACAAACTTGTTCAGGGATGGGCATACTTTTTCTGCAAGGGCCAGATCATAAAGTTTTTAGGCTTTGTGGACCATGTAATCTGTCATACCCACCAACTCTGTGGTTGTAACTCAAAATCAGCTATAGACAATGTGTAACCAATGGGTATGACTGTGTTTCAATAAAACTTTGGTCTAGAATATATATTCATTTTTATATTTGAATACTTCACTTTGGCAAGTTAAAGGTCAAGTCCAGTAGTGAATTTTGCTCTAGGTACTGAATCTCTGAAGAACTGAAGAGGTAGGAAGATGCTGCATTCTTATAAAGTTTATTTAAAAGAAATACTCATAATTTTTTTATGGGACAATCTTAGATATAGTATAAAATTTTTATTTCATAATCATTCTGTGTATATTCTGTTCAGTACTATGCAGAAAGACATTCTGACATCTGTTAATCTCAACATTTTAAAGTTAGCTTGCCATACTTTAAAGAAACTGGTTAGCTGCAGTTTACATTCCATTGTAAGCAGGTCCTCCTCCACCTTCAGGTACTACCCAGTTAATATTCTGACTTGGATCTTTAATATCACATGTTTTACAGTGCACACAGTTCTGAGCATTTATCTGTAACCGAAATCCATCACCTTGTTCCACAGGTACAAATTCATAAACTCCTGAAAAGTAAAAATAAATAATATTGAAGTGCCTAACTTTAAAAGTGTTTTAAATTCAAAAGTAGAAATTTAAAGAAAGAGTAGCCACAGAAACCTTAAAGGTTGCTTTCTGAATGCTGACCCATAGAGAGTATTATGAAGACCTTGGTGCATTGCTGTTGATGTGAGTAGAAATTACATGTACATAATAAAAGGAGGTACAGCAGTATTCGGCTGAGTTGTCGCACTATCGGGGTACTCCACACTCAGTGTTTGAGTTCCAGACAACCTCGAAGTCCTCCCTTATTCACAGTTGTCCTCTCTCCACAGAGGACAAGTTCCAAGATCCCCAGTAGACGCCTGAAACCTCAGGTAGTACCCAACTTAACACTGTCGTTCAGAACACATTTCTGTTCTGTATTTTCACCCACAAATGTGTGATGCCTTTTCCATCTTAAGGAAGCACTTGCCACACTCTGGCCATAACTTCTACATTTCGAGGTCCAACAGCAAAATGTACAGATTTCTTTTTCCTCTTTCACAGAAGATACAGTCTTACTGTAGACCTTAGCAACCTCAGCATAGGATTTTTTTCTCTATAGAGAACTTTCTCCTTTTTACTTAAAGGACGCACTTCATGGCATCTCTGAATTGTCAGCATCACTACTCTTGCGTTGTGGGGACATTTTTAAGTAAGAGTTACTGGACAGAAGCATGATACTGTGACAGTCAATCTGATGATAACTGAGACGGTTACCAAGTGACATAACGAATGTTATGCGTGAATATGCTGGACAAAGGGATAATTCACATCCAGGGTGGGACAAGCCAGAATGGTACGCAATTTAAAACTTAACATGCACAATTTAAGACTCGAGAATTACTTGTTTCTGGAATTTTATTTTCAGACCGTGGGTGCCTGGGGGTAAGAGGAGCCTGATGGTACAGCTAAAAAACCAAATTAGATCCAGTCCTTAGTAACCTCAGGGACTTTAAAACCCACTGTAATGACAAACGTCAAAAGACCAAGTCACACTATAGCTTCTTTTGTGAATGTACTAGTTTTCAAGTATCTGAGTACTATTTTGTTCTACATGTCATTTGAGACCTGGTTCCTACTATTGTAATTTCAGTTGAAAGCTCAGCACTAAAAGAATATTCATGGTGAATTTAAAGTTTCAGAGCATTTCTTGGACTGAACGTAACCATGACGTGTTATTCTAGCACACGCACCCAAATACGTACAGATGAGCTGCCCATACGTACAGAAATGACTTTAAATAGTCACATGAACATGCAAAGAGAGGTATTTCATCTTCAAGAATCTTCATCTTAGTCTGAGCGTACACAAAGGGCTTTTTTTTTTTTTTTTGAGAAATGTCATCTGAACTAGGCTTAATAAAACCAGTAGTTAAAAGTGTAAGTTTCCTAAAGGAAGCTAGAGGAAGTCATTTACAATTTCTAAGCAATGGAAGGAGATACAGAAATCATTTTTTAAAAGAACAGAATCACATTACTAAAATGTTTAAAGCAAATATTTAGGAATAGATGGAAATTATTACCTGCAGGACAGAATCGCTGCTCGGGCCCATCATATATCGACAGATTTCTATTTACAGGTATACTGTCATCCCTTAAGGTTAAATGTGCCGGCTGGTCATGTTCATGATTAGTACCACTCAGAGCCACAGATGACAAGAGGTCAAAACTGATCTGTCCATCGGGTTTTGGATACTCAATAGGTGTACAATCCTTGGCTGGCTTGAGCCGTTCAAAGTCAGAACCTTCAACAATTTTGAGGGAAATGCTTAACAAAATATAATTTTGAAGTACTTTTTCTTAAGCCTATTTGTATAAAAACTTCAAAATGTTATTACACCAAAGAAATACGACTAGCCCTCAAGTAATAATATACTGTTCTTAGATACTAAATTTATAATTTCTCCAAGCAAGTTTAAAACATTAAAACGATCACTTTGTCAAATTAATGGATCCCATTCATGATTTTTTAATGATCATGTTACTCATACTCTCATTTGAATTACCTTTATGTTTCAGAGTCCATGGCTCCATTCCTCTCAATATCCAGTAAAAGATACCAGTGTAAATCATCCCTCCATATACACCCAGTACTCCGTGGCAAGACGGTCTTATATTTCTAACAGAATATAGCTCTTTCCATACCCAGGAGTTCTTCAAATTGTCTTCATATTCAGTTACATGGAGTCCTTTTATTAAAAACATGAAATGTTAGTGTGAAACTGCCCAAATGTGCATAAAATATGCTAAAGTATTTTGCTACTTTGATACCTGATGAGTGAATTTTTTTTTTTTTTTTTGAGACAGGGTCTTGCTCTGTCACGCAGGTTGCAATACAGCGGCGTGATCATGGCTCACTGCAACCTCCACCTCCCAGATTCAAGTCATCCTCCCACCTTAGCCTCCTGAGTAGGTGGGACTAGGGGCACATGCCACCATGCCCTGCTAATTTTTGTATTTTTGGTAGAAAGAGGGTTTTGCCATGTTGCCCAGGCTGGTCTTGAACTCCTGAGCTCAAGTGATATGCCTGCCTTGGCCTCCCAAAGTGCTGGGATCACAGGCATGAGCCACCGCACCTGGCTGATGGTGAATCTTCAGTAATTTTTAAAAACATGGTCCACACTGAAGACTCTCATGTATAAATGTTGGCATCTTCCAAAAAGACAACCATTAGATATAGATGTTATTAATAGGCAGTAAGGCATTTGATTTCTTATATTGGTAGCATGGAAAATTAGTTTAAAATTTTAGTGAAACTGAGAAGCTTTAAGATAAAAAGTTCATGCCGGGCGCGGTGGCTCAAGCCTGTAATCCCAGCACTTTGGGAGGCCAAGACGGGTGGATCACGAGGTCAGGAGATCGAGACCATCCTGGCTAACACGGTGAAACCCCGTCTCTACTAAAAATACAAAAAAACTAGCCGGGCGAGGTGGCGGGCGCCTGTAGTCCCAGTTACTCGGGAGGCTGAGGCAGGAGAATGGCGTAAACCCAGGAGGCAGAGCTTGCAGTGAGCTGAGATCCGGCCACTGTACTCCAGCCTGGGCGACAGAGCGAGACTCCGTCTCAAAAAAAAAAAAAAAAACAACAAAAAATAAAATTCATGCTACCTGTAACAGTGAAAAAATTTCATAATTTACAACTCAAAACTATTTCTACCTGCTATGGGTTGAAATATGTCCCCCCAAAAATAGGTTTTGAAGTCCTAACCTCCAGTACCTTAGACTGTGACCTTAGTAGTGGCTGTAGATATAATTAGTTAAGATGAAGTCCACTACAGTACAGTGGGTCTCTAATCCAATATGACTGGTATCCTTAGAAGAAGAGACAGAACTGGGCACAGTGGCCCTAGCCTGTAATTTCCAGCTACTTGGGAGGCCAAAGTGGGAGGGCGGCTGGAGCCAAGGAATTTGAGATTGCAGAGACCGAGGATTGCACCACTGCACTCCAGCTTGGGGAACAGAGCGAGAACCTGTCTCTAAAAACAAAAACCCACCACTTCATAGAGAAAACTCAGTGCATGCACTTAATATTTCAGAGGACAAATTGGTTCCCTTACGGCCTTTGGTGGATTCCACGTAACTTCTTTTTCCAGTTATTGTTTCCTGTTCTGACTCCACTCCCCTTTTCTCTAGGCTTTAACCCTCAATCTAGTCTTTGGTGATATACTGGCTCCAGTATTATCTATGTGTGGTACTATATGCACATGATACAGTTCAAGTATGGCTGGTGGTCCAACAAGGAATGATACTTGACAAGAAAATCAGAAAAAAACTTCCACCCAGTCCCTGCACTCCATTGGCTATTCCATTCTCCCTGAAGTGCCCTTTGCCCTTTCTGTTTTCCACTTCATCTCCCCATGCTAGGCCTCCATTCCTACAAAGATTTGAAGGCATAACCTGGTTACATATCTCTAACTAGAGGAACATATACTGGGGATTCTAAGAAATAAGACTCATTTATCAAGTATCTATGGAGTCGCTACTGTGTGCCAGGTGTTTAGGATTCACACTAAGCAACACCCCTAGTCTCTTGGAGTTTTCATCCAAGTGGCAGAAGACAAAAGTTGATAAATAAGTAAATAATACAATGTACCAAAAGGTGGAAAATGTGCTAGAAAAGGCCATTCAGAGGGAACTGGGTGGGTGTGTGCTGTGTGTTGTGCGTTAATTGGTGTGGTCAAGGCAGAGCCACTGTGAGTGCTACTTAAACAAAGGCAAAGAGAACAAAGGAGCCAGCCGTGACCAAAGACCATTAGGTGGGAGTGCTTGGCATATTCCGGGAACTGTAAAGAAGCCAGTGTGGCTGGAGTTGGTAAAGGGTCTTTTTAGGTTAAAGGTTTACTGAGGTATAAGTGCTGGCTGTTTCTCTCCACCGCAGCAGAAGAGTCATATACCTATACTTACAAAGCTTGCTGAAGAATAGGTAGCTAATTCTGCCTTCTGCAAAGGTGTTCTATTGATACTTTAGTATTTGGGAGGTATCTTAATTGTGTATATTACATGTATGCAATATAAATATGTGTGCAATATAAATGCAGTACTTTCATATTTGTAATAGTTTCTAACTATGTGGGACACTACTGGTACTTCTTTTTTGTGTGGGGGGGATGGAGTTTTGCTCTTGTTGCCCAGGCTGGAGTGCAATGGCATGATCTCAGCTCACTGCAACCTCCACCTCCCAGGTTCAAGCGATTCTCCTGCCTCAGCCTCCCAAGTAGCTGGGATTACAGGCACCTGCCACCACACCCAGCTAATTTTTTTCTATTTTTAGTAGAGACGGGGTTTCACCATGTGGGCCAGGCTGGTCTTGAGCTCCTGACTTCAGGTGATCCATCTGCCTCAGCCTACCAAAGTGCTGGGATTACAGGTGTGAGACACCGTGCCCGGCTACCACTCTTACTTTTTTACTTTTTTGATGTGAATAAAACAGAACATTGTAGTAAAAAATCACTGACTGTAATTACTGAGAATAGGTCATGTAGTTTTCTTTGCATAGCATGCTTCTTAATACTTCTAAAGTGACAGATGCAATACAAATCTTTTAATGTCAATTGAAATACAAGTAACCCAGCAATTTTCTTTTTTCTGCTTTACACAGGAATTTCTTACCTATTGTCTTTGATTGGAGATTTTCACTAGTTAGTTGATTAAAAATAGATTCTGCTGCTAAAATTCCACTTTTCATTGCTGTGTGAGTACCTTTGATTTTGGGAACATTCATAAAACCAGGACTACAACCAATTAGTAAACCACCAGGAAAGGTGAGTTTTGGTATAGACTGAGGAAAGAAAGATTCAGAATACATTTGTTAGCTCAAATTAAACAAGCACAACAGAATACTCCAAATCAGTCTTAAAGTCTTCTAGAACTGTAGGGAAAAGTTGAAAACTAAATACATGAAAATGAATTGAGCAAAGGAATAAAACAGAGCAAGGGCAGTTTTCTTCTTCCTGCCCTAAGAGTGAGCATTAGGACTATTACTATTTTTCTGTGAGAGTTTTTCTTTTTTCCTCCTCATAACTAATCTACATGGGACAGACTTAGGACTGAAGCATCAATATGTTTTAAATAGAATGTTTTATTTATACATATCCATGTCATAGTTAAAATATTCTCTAAACCTGAATGCTGTTATCTAAATTGTGATTTGCTTGCAAATCAAAACCACAATGAGATATCATTTCACCCTAGTTAGAATGGCTACTATCAAAAAGACAAAAAATATTCTGGTGAGGATGTGGGGAAAACTCACACATTGTTGGTGGGAATGTCAATTAGTACAACCATTATGGAAAACAGTATAGAGGTTCCTAAAAAAGCTACAAATAGAACTACCATATGACCCAGCAATCCCACTATTGGGTATATATCCAAAAGAAAGCAAGTCAATATGTGGAAGAGATATCTGCACTCTCATATTTATTGCAGCACTATTCACAATAACTGCCAAGATACGGAATCAAACTAAATGTCCATCAACAGATGAATGGATCAAAAGATGGTATATATATATACACAATGGAATACTATTCAGCTGGAAGAACGAATGAAATATTGTCATCTGTGACAACATGGATGATCCTGGAAGACATTATGTTAAGTCAGTCAACCACAGAAAGATAAACATCCTATGTTCTCACTCATATATGGAAACTTAAAAAGTTGATCTTACGGAAGTGGAGAGTAGAACAGTGGCTACTAGAGGATGGGAAGGGTAGAAAGGGATGATGGGGATGGGGGCGGGATACAGAGAGAGTGGTTAATGGATTCAGAAATACAGCTAGATAGGAGGAATAAGTTCTGTTCTATAGCACTGTAGAGTGACTATAATAAAGAATAATTTATGATTTTTTCAAATAGCTAGAAGAAAAGATTTTAAATATTACCAACACAAAGAAATGATAAAGGTTTGAGGTGATGGACATACTAATTACTCTGATTTGATCATTAAACATTATACACATGTATGGAAATATCACATTGTATCCTCTCTTCCCCCAAAATTAAGTGGGCCTGAAAATTTCAAAGAGCATATAAAAAAAACTGTGATTTGCTTTTACATGCATTCGGGGTAATACAAGACTTACAAAGGATACTATACACCCTCTTTGTTTTACTTTGACAGCTAGGGATATAAACCTATGCTCTAATCATGGCACCACTGCAACTAGCTACCACCCTAAACAATAGATTCTGATTAAGGACAAGCTGAATTTCCAAAATTAAATACAGACAATTCTTTGGACCTTAGTATACATTTCTGATTAAAAAAAAAAGTAATAAAGAGTGGGATATTTTTCAGTTTAGACAATAAAAGTCTATATGTACCCCACAATATAGCAACTGAACTATAGATGGTTTGCATGAGAAAATGTACTCTTATAGTTTGAAGAGAGCCAAGCAGCGCTGTTCTTTCCACATTCTGTATTTTTTGCTTCTATGAGGACTTCTTAAAGTAAGCCATGGGGTCTTTGTTGAGAAAATGCTGAGTGGTACATTTGGCTGATGGTATTAAGAGGGACTCAGAGGTGGGGGTTAACAAAACTATTGACATCAACTGCAAAAGAGACATGGTGAGCACTCTGTCGCCACAACTCTCATCAATGATACAATTCTGTGAGGGAACGGTGGTGAAAAGCAAAACTAGGGGCAGAAGGAATGCTGATAAGAGAGATGGATCAGGTCCTTTCACAGTATATGTGGGGAATGAATTTATGACTGTGGTTCTCAGACCAAACTCAGTATTAGGATCACTTAGATAAAAGAGCATTAAATCAGGACCACAGAGCAGACAATGGGGAGGAGGTGCTATCTGGAGTGCTACTAGCTGAAAACAGATAAAGATTAGGGACTTAGATGATGACAATGCTTTTCTCAAATAAGGCTGTGGCTTTGTTGACACCAAGTTTGATTCAAGAACCAGAAGAATGTGAAATAAAAGGATATAAACTATGAGTTCAAGTTCTTCCAAAATAGGTGTTTAAATCCTAAGAATAAAAATATTATGCCCAAGGAAAATGTATGTTTTTAAGTTCTAGGAGGATCCTACCTTGGGTGGGCTGGGTTACTGGCAGCTATGCACCTCGTTTGGGACATTCATTAGGGCTACAAGTAATTAGAAACCCACTAGGGGAATATGAGTTTTGGTATAGTCAGCTGAAGGAGAAAAAAGCTAGACAGTATTTGTTAGCTCAAAATAAACAAAACTGAATGTTTCAAATTGTTGCCTCTTCTTTTTCTTTGCCTAAATGGGAGCCACTCAGACTGCATCCTTTCCCTCCCACTCTCCCTAAGGAAGGGAAAAACAATCATCAATGCCAATGGCAGCTGAGCAAAGCAACATCGAGAGCGGGCGGGAGGGAATACTGCACTCTCCTGGTGGTTTCTGGTGCTTGCTACACCTTCAGAGGAACTTCTCTGATATTGAACTACTGAAACCATCCCTTATAGTCGTTGTTGCCTCTTAAGGTCTTCAAGACCGTAACTGAAAATAACTTTCTGAATCTCTGGCAAATGAAATTAGAAAATTCAGGTGAAAAGTGTGTGGGTGTGTGTTGTGGGGGGAGGGAAGAGTCATTCCCTCCTGTCAATTTGCAAATCATTTGACATGTTTGACATGCTTAAGTACACAAGGTAAATGGTTTTCAATAAAAATCTGTGTGTACTATTGAATATACTGAAACCTTTATAAATTACAGAGTAGGGTTAGGGTGACAGTAACTATTATGGACATTATTTTAAAAAGTTTAATAGGCTTGAATACAGTTATGTAATTCAATACATATTTCTACCAAAGGAATTGCTACCCTAGAAACAAAAACAATCTCATGAGAAGTAATCTCATGACAGACTTTGGGGACAGCAATATTTTAAGATTCTAGTGATTATGTTTCTAATGTAGCTATGGTTTTGAGTTTATGAAATACTATTACAGTAATAAAGTATTTAGAAACTCACTTTTAAAGATAAGTAAAGGCTGGACGCGGTGGCTCACACCTGTAATCCCAGCACTTTGGGAGGCTGAGGCGGGCGGATCACGAGGTCATGAGCTCGAGACCATCCTGGCTAACACGGTGAAACCCCATCTCTACTAAAAATACAAAAAAATGAGCCAGGCATGGTGGTGAGCGCCTGTAGTCCCAGCTACTCAGGAGGCTGAGAAAGGAGAATGGTGTGAACCTGGGAGGCAGAGGTTGCAGTGAGCCGAGATCATCGTGCCACTGCACTCCAGCCTGGGTGATAGAGCAAGACTCCGCCTCAAAAAAAAAAAAAAGAAGATAAGTCAATTTTCCCTCCCTAAATTTTCCTATTATCTGTTACTTTTATAATAATTTTTTAAAAAATCCAATTTCTAAGATAGTCCTAGATTCCTAGAATATTAGAGACAGAGGGATCATCTTTATTTTACAGATGATCTCTTAAGACCAGAAAAGTTAAGGAACTTGCTCCAAATAATTTGGTACAAGCTTTACAGCAGATTTTTAGATCATCTTACCTGTCCGATAACATTTCTACCAACAGTATTAACAGCTTTTATGACAATTAGCTACTAGGTGTTATTTCACTGTTTAATACATAATGAATACATTATATTTGAGAAGATTTTGAATGTATATAAAAATAGGACAATTAAGGTAAAAGCTTAACAGAGGTAATCTAAAAGGCATGAATATTACTAGGTAGTTGGAATGAATGAATTTTGTTTGCTGAAAACTAAATTTGCCTTTGAGTTTCCTGGCAGTTAAGGAATAAAGAGAAATATTATGGATTACAGTTTTAAATTTATGGTAAAAACAACTGACAAACAAAATGTCCATGAATTTATCTCTGGAGATCAATTTATTATTTTTTGTTTTTGTTTTTGTTTTTGAGATGGAGTCTCATTCTGCTGCTCAGGCTGGATGGCACAATCTTGGCTTACTGCAACCTCCACCTCCCAGGTTGGAGGTTGATTCTCCTGCCTCAGCCTCCTGAGTAGCTGGGACCACAGGCGCTCATCACCATGCCTGGCTAATCTTTCTATTTTTTGTAGAGATGGGGTTTCGCCATGTTGCCCAGGCAGCCTGCCCAGCTCGGCCTTCCAAAGTGCTGGGATTACAAGCATGAGTCACTGTACCCAGCCTAATATATTCTTAAAACTAAATTCATGGTGTAATTCTGAAGTACTGTGTGACACAGTTTATTTATAAATGCTACATACTTTACTTATTTCGATATTGTTTTTATTCTTTATCTAAATTTGTTACATTATATGTTCAATTCTGAATTTACATACAGAAATAAGGAAAATAAAAGTTGGAAGAGTTACCTGAAAGCCACCTTCATTGAGAGCTCTGGCTCCGTATGCAATCCTTTTTCCACCTTCCAAGGTTGGCCGAATGCTAGGATGGTGTTTCCACCTCTGGAATTCTCTAAATGGACTCAGGTATGGATTCTGATAGTCTAGACCAACCTTAAAAATTTACATTTATATTAAATTAGGCATTTTTATTTCAAATTAAATCAAGTGAAAATGTGAGCAATGTTTATCAGAAAACATGTATGTTAAATTTCTTGTACTCAAAAGTATTTGGAGCACTATGTGCAGTAATGCAAATGTAAATTAAAAATTGTATAAAATCTGTTTGGAAAAGAAATGGTAAAGAAAAGGATAGCATGTGTTTATTATCATCAAAATTATGAAAATTTAGAACATATTAACAAATTCTTATGCTCTGGAACTCGAAGTCCAAATTAGAAAAACAGAATCTATCATGAGATTAGAAAATAAAAATGAACAACAACAAAAAAACCAAATTAGAACAGTATCTGTAGGTAAGCATCTCAGATTATGTTTCTATGAAAGCAGCTGTAATGATTTATTATACATTAATACCAACTTGAAATAAACTAATAATCTATACTACAGTACAACTGAGGCAAAAATAAAGAAAAAGGATGTAAATTACACTTAAGAGAAAAAGAGGAAAATAAATATAGAAGGTTACATTTTATAAAGCTTTACCAAAGTGTTAAAATTGACCACATCTTTTTCCTTTGATACAATTAAGTCAGGCATAAATATCCAAAGGTGATGGGATGAACATTTGACTGGGGGGTCAAAAAACACTAATAACATATAAATTTAACAGTGTATCATATGGAGGTCTAATCATGACACTAAACTATAAAGCTGCCACCAGTTGCAAGGTACAGAAACTAATTTTTCCATTCTTGGTAATGTTCAATATGTAATTTACTGCAACGATGTGCAGGAGGCCAGAAAAGGAGAAACTGCTTGTATTTTTTAAAAGTTTTAAGTTCAAACTTAGTGCTAATTTCATTGTCAGTGGTAGCATGCCACAGTGGAAATGGAATTTGAGGTCAGACAAGGTCAGGCATTTCTGCCGGTTATTTAATGGGTGTATATGGGTAAGTTGTTTAACTTATTTGGACTTCAGTTTTCTCATCTGTAAAATAAAGATATACCTATTTCAGCGTTATTATGAAATTTATGTAGAAATCTCAGAAAAGCATCCAGCATAGTGCCTGGAGTGTAGCAGCTACTATTACTATTGCTACGTGTGTTTAGTAGACTTAATGACACAGCAGCCAGAAGCACTTTACATATTGATAAAATTAGAAAGTACGCTTTAAATGATAAGCATTTTACAGTCTTCAGATTCAAAACCCTTATTTTATAACACTGATGATAATATAACTTTAGCAGTAGAATTTTCCATAATGGGAATATAACTTACCACAAGACCAAGAGCTACTAGGGGTTCACCTTCATTCAAATGATAGAGGAAAGATCCTCCATAGGTATGTCTGTCCAAGGGCCAACCAACTGTGTGATCTACTCTCCCAGGTTTCCAGTTCTTTTCATCAATAACCCATAACTAAAAACAAACAAAAAAAATAGGTCCTGTAGTATTTTAAAAATGTTTTTATGTCACCACAATGCAGAAAACTTGCCAAGTTTAATGTCTTATTTATGAAAATTACAAGTGAAAAACTGTAATATAAGTATACAACAAAATTACTTCAAATATCAAAGGCGACTGGGCACGGTGGCTCACGCCTGTAATCCTAGCATCATGGGAGGCTGAGGTGGGCAGATCACTTGAGGTCAGGAGTTCGAGACCATCCTGGCCAACATGGTAAAACCCCATCTCTACTAAAAATACAAAAATTAGCTGGGCATGGTGGCGGATGCCTTGTAATCCCAGCTACTCCAGAGGCTGAGGCATGAGAATTGCTTGAACCCGGGAGGCAGAGGTTGCGGTGAGCCGAGATCATGCCACTGCACTCCAGCCTGGCTGATAGAGCATGACTCAATCTCAAAATAAATAAATAAATAAATAAAATGCAGGTTGATCACCTAGAATATCAAAGAAAATTATATCAAACTGCAGCATGAGTTCCAGAGTAAAGAAACAGGTCAGAAAACTTATGAACTCTTAAAGACATTAAATAGATTCTCAAATTGGTAAAGACTTTTATACAATTATAGGAAATCAGGAAATCCTACTGAAAGGCTGAGGGAAAGTTCTGCGGTACTGGTAGTGTTCTCTTTCTTCATCTGGGTGACAGCCACAAGGGTATGTTCACCATGTAAAAATTAATGTACACTTTAGGTCTCTCTTTGTAATAGACATGTATTCTCCAACAAAGTAATTTATTCCCTCTGCCCTGCCTTCCACAATTGAAATAAATTGTTCACCCTCTTTTCAGACTGGTAAATTTTAAATTTTGAACAATTTCTATCTGAAATATTATCTAAAAATCAGATAATATTGTGTGCAATCAGACATGATGTGCAGTCTATCAAAACAAACCCTTATTCAGAATATAACGAATCTAGTTTTACATAGACTTTGAACCTTTCTGAGATTTAACCTAAAATAAAGTTTTTGTTGTTAATTACTGTATTTTTTATTTTTTTAGAGATGGGATCTCACTGTGTCACCCAGTTAGGGTGCAGTGGTATGATCACAGGTCACTGCAGTCTTGATCTCTTGAAGTGAAGTGGTTCTCCTGCACCAGCCTCCAGAGTAGCTGAGACTACAGATGTGCACCACCACACCTGGCTAATTTGTAAATTTTTAGTAGAGATGAGGTATCACTACATTGCCCAGGCAGGTCTTGAACTCCTGGACCCAAGCAATCATCTTGCCTTGGCCTCTCAAAATGCTTGGGTTATGGGTGTGGGCCACCATTGCTAGCTCCACAACAATATTTAAGCAAAAGGGTTATAATGAAAATTTTACATTTACATTCTAATAAGCCTAGGATTTGGGAAAACAAGACTAGAGAATGAATAAATTGAGAAAATGTAAAATACATAACCTAATTAAATTTTAGGCTGCAGATTAATATACTATGGCTGAGTGTGTATTTCATAAACAAAATTATCTTCGCATTACCATTTTGAAAAAATAATGCTTTGTAGGATGTGGTCATCCTACAAACAGCATATGGATAACAAGAGCAATCCTAACAGGGCAGATGGCATTACAATGAAAAAAAAAAAAAGATTCAAATATTCACAAGTTCAAGATTCATTTCAAGCAACACTTGATATAACAATTCCAACATGTAAAACTAACTTAACCAATAATAGAATTTGATCAGTAGTTATCTTCTAGCCCCTTGAAAAATATCCCAAGTTTTAGTCATAATGAACATTTCAAGACAATGAAAAAATATAACTAAAGTTAAGTCAGTATTACAAACTACCTGATAATACAAATAAATTTAAATTCCATCTTTCGAAATTAAAATTACAGAAACAAGCCCGGATACCTCCTTCAGTCCAATCCCATAGGTCTGAGGTTCACAATTGGCTCTCAAATCAAACTTCGTATATAGTTGCTTGGCTAGATGTCCGTGGCAACCTTCTGCAAAAATTGTGACTTTAGCATGGAGTTCTAGCCCTCTCTCAAATGTTGCCTGAAAAGCAAAAACGTGTTAAATGGCAACATTTGACAATTTAAAATATATTCACATTTTGATCAGATTTAAATTGAACTATGATTCAGGTGTAGAAGAGACAGTGCAAATGTATAATATAAAGAATCACATAGTAAATATATAGAATAATATAATCTTACTCTTCTCACTTAAAATATCTCATGGAAATCTTTTCAAGTCACTGTGGAGCTCAAATCTTTCTCTTTAATGGCTAGGTAGGAGTTCAGGTAGAGAGACAGGATAGATTATCCAGCTCCTCTGCCAATGGATAATAGCCATTCGCTCTTTCCAGTTTATGTATGAACAAAAACAATGTTATAAGATATAAACACTCTTGAATATATATTGAATATAGAGCTGATCCTTGAACGAGATGGGTTTGAATTGTGTGGGTTCGCATATACAAGAATTTATTTTTAACCAAATAAGGATTGAAAATACAATATTCACCGGATGTGGGACCCGAGTATATGGAGACTGATTTTTCATGTATGTGAGTTCTGCAGGGCTAACTTTGGGACTTGAGTATGCATGAATTTTGGCATACTTGGGGGTCCTAGAGCCAATCTACCGTACACACTAAGGGACACCTGTATACACATACAATATTGGTGCTTTTATTCCTATAAGATAGATTCCCAGGAGTGGCCCTCTTAGATCAAAGGGTACATCTACTTTTTTAAATTGATATTATCATATTACTTTCCAAAAAGCCTGAAGCAATGAATATATTTCCATCAGTAGTATGTAAGACCCTTTCCCTATAGTACAGTTAGTGACAGATATAACTGTTCCTTTTACATTTTTGCTAGTGTATCAGGTGTCGTGATAACTCACTACTATTTTATTTTTAATTTTTTAATTTTTTTTTTTTGAGACGGAATTGTGCTCTTGTTGCCCAGGCTGGAGTGCAATGGCACGATCTTGGCTCACTGCAACCTCTGCCTCCAGGGTTCAAGCAATGCTCCTGCCTCAGTCTCCCGAGTAGCTGGGATTATAGGCATCCGTCACCAAGCCCAGCTAAGTTTTTGTATTTTTAGTAGAGATGGGGTTTCATCATGTTGGCCAGGCTGGTCTCGAACTCCTGACCTCAGAGGATCCACCCACATCGGCCTCCCAAAGTGCTGGGATTACAGGCGTGAGCCACGGCACCTGGCCCTCAATACTATTTTAATTTGCATTTCCCTGATTACTATTTTGAGCATCTTTTCTTTTTGATTCAAGAAATAGTGAATGAATACCTACAATGTGCCAGGTTCTGTGCTAGGCATTGGGAATACATGGATGAGTTAAAAAAAAGATATGTTCCTTTTCTTTGGACTAGCCATAGAGACAGACATTAAATAAATACATGAGTATATAATTACAAATTGTTTAAGTGCCATGAAAGAGAGCAGAGGGTATTGCAAAGGAGAATAACAGAAGCCAGCTATTCCAGATTGAGTGAACAGGAAAGTCTTCTTAGAAGAAATGACATTTAACCTCTGGACTCTGAAAAAAACATATTTAAGTATCTTTCCTTATGATTAGTGGTCACTGAGTTCTTCTATGAATTGTTAATATTTTAGACTCTACCCATTTTTCCAATGTGTTGTCTTTTTTCTTGTCGATGTTTAAGTACTCCTTGATATTACAGAGAGTCAAACATTTACAGACTTTATAGTATATTTTGGTATACAGAAGTGTTTAACTTTTATATATTAAGTTAAAAAAGGTCTTTCTTTTTTTTTAACAGGTTTTTAGTATCTTGTTGCTGTAGGGTGGCTTACCCTACCCCTAGATTGTTAACTTTCATCTCTTAGATTTCCTTTTGATTTGTATTGTTTTAAATCTTTAAATCACGAGAAAGAAACAACCAGCAAACTGGGGTCCAACTCTATTTGCTTCCAGATGGATATAGAGTTTCCCCAGAACCACTTATAAAACAATTCAATCTGTATGAACTAAAATATTAATTCACATATTTCTGTTTCTTCTTAGTGGTAACATGCCCTTTAGTGTTCAAGGGACAGGCCGTGGAGCCACACAGCCTGTATTTAAATCCCAGCCCCAATACTTAGTAGGTGTCTGACCCCAGCCAAGTTACTTAACCTCTGTCACTTAAAAATGTCCAAATCAGAATTGTTATAATAAAATGCATATTGGAGATAGGAACCAAGAGAAGGCTGTAAGAAGAGCCAAGTCAAAAAAGTGTTTCAAGAAGGAAAACATAATCGAGCTGTGTCAAGTGCCATCCACTAGAAGGTCAAGTAAGGGAAAACAGAGGCCTGTCCACCAGATTGGCAAAATGGAGGTATTTGTGACTCTAACAAGAACCGTTTCAGTGAAATGGCAGGGAGAAAGCCTAACTACAGTGGGCTAAATAGAGAATGGAACAACACATTAAACAGAATCTTTGATTTTCCCCACTCTAACCTTGTGGTAATACTATTTTTAAAAACTTAGATTTTGGGGCTCAAATTACTAAGACTCCATTGTACTCTTCTATGCTATTATATCTGCATAAACGCAACATACAAAATATAAACGTTTTTACAAATGCAAAGCATAAAAAATCATATATATATATCTTTCTTTTTTAATTTTTATTTTTTTAGACGGAGTCTCACTCTGTCGCTTAAGGTGGAGTACAGTGGCACGATCTTGGCTCACTGCAACCTCTGCCACCTGAAATAAACTCACATTTGAACAAATGAGAACATGCAAAAATGAAATACCAAATACTAAAAATACCAAAATTGCTTCAATTTTGTTATAATATTAAATGCAAAAATATTTAAAGACTAAAATATAATTTATAATTAATCATAATATAGAAAAGAACCATAATATATGAACAACCGTGTTCTTTTACTGAGAGGCAGTATAACAGTTTTTACAAACCTGGCTATGCACTGGAATCCCTGGAGGCTTGTTAAAAAACAGCTTCTTAGGCCTTACTGCAGGACAGGCTGAGCCCCAAGATGTCACATGATTCTGATGTGGCCAGTTAAACCACTAGGAGTCCCAAACAGGATTTGCCATTTGCCTTTTTTTTTAAGATGGCGTCTCGCTCTGTCGCCCAGGCTGGAGTGCAGTGGCGTGATCTCGGCTCACTGCAAGGTCCGCCTCCCAGGTTCATGCCATTCTTCTGCCTCAACTTCCTGAGTAGCTGGGACCACAGGCACCCACCACTATGCCCAGTTAATTTTTCTGTATTTTTTTTTAGTAGAGACGAGGTTTCACTGTGTTAGCCAGGATGGTCTTGATCTCCTGACCTCGTGATCCGCCCGCCTCGGACTCCGAAAGTGCTGGGATTACAGGCATGAGCCACCGCGCCCAGCCGCTATTTGCTTTTGAAGCAGGAAATGTGAGAAGCAGAAAGTCTGCTGGAAGAGACTCTAGATTCCTAATTCTATTCCAAGAGTGGCAGAGAGGAGGATAAACTATCAGTTGACAAATATTTACGGAGACCTAATATGTACCTGGCATTATGCCAGGCATTGGAATAACCCAGGATCTCTATCCTTTGGGAGCTTATAATCTAGTTGGGAAATTGGATAATAAATAAACCTGAATAGACAGGTCAGTTGATTGAGATGTTAATTGGTGTTTTGTTCATATTATAGGACAGCAAGCTATTTTTTTCCTTATCTTTTCCAAAGAGTGACAGTTCTATGTTCTGATGGTTTTGCTTTCAGATTCAAAAATACAACATGTGAAAATCTGAAAATTATCCAGGTTTATATTTTGAATGAGAGGTGGAGAATCAGTTTTACATCTACCAAAAGAGGTTAAAATCATGTCAAAGTGGCCGGGCACGGTGGCTCGTGCCTGTAATCCCAGCACTTTGGGAGGCCAAGGCGGGTGGATCATGAGGTCAGGAGTTCAAGACCAGCCTGGCCAACATGACAAAACCCCATCTCTACTAAAAATACAAAAAGTAGCCAGGCATGGTGGCGCACAGATGTAATCCCAGCTACTCGGGAGGCTGAGGGCGGGGAATTGCTTGAACCTGGAAGGCAAAGGTTGCAGTGAGCCAAGCTCGCGCCACTGCACTCCAGCCTGTGCAACAAACAAACACGTCAAAGTATATCACTACTTACCTACTGATAGTAATGCAAAATGATTCTTGTCCAACGAAATGAAAATTGTGGAGAAATAAAAACTGCAGAAACTATTTTCATTTGATGTATTTCGTTAATGAAGTGGATTGATGGCCTGTAAATGTGTTTATGTTTGAATTCTTCTTGCACTGGTTGTAATATCTTACTGATTCTCTCCTTAACTAAATGAAATAAAATCTTTGACATGTGTTTGACTTATGTTTGTATATTTGTATGTCATTATCTTTAAAAAATTTTTTAAACATATTATAACTACTTGCCTAAATCACTGTTAGCTCAAAGTTGCTTCTATATTTTTTAATGAGAAAAATTCCATATTAATTACTGTATTCTAACACCCACATTTTTTGAAATTTTTAAAATTTTTATTTATTTTGAGACAGGGTGGTAAGACTGGCTAATTTTGCATTTTTGGTAGAGACAGGGTCTCGCCATGTTGCTCAGGAAGTTCTCAAACTCATGGGTTCAAGTGATCCAACTGTCTGGGCCTCCGAACATCCACATAATTAATGTATAGTTTGTAGCAAGACCTTTATTGAGTCTAAGTTGGTTCTTTCTTCTTCTTTTTATTTTTTAAGACAGGGTTTTGCTCTGTCACTCACCCAAGCTGAAATGAAGTGGCATGATTATGACTCACTGCAGCCTCGAACTCCTGGGCTCAAGTGATCCTCCTGTTTCAGCCTCCAAAGTAGCTAGGACTACAGGTGCATACCATGAAGTCCAGCTAATTTTTTTTTTCTGTTTTTGGAGAGATGGGATCTCATTTTGTTGCCCACACAGTTCTTTCTGTTGTTTGTCGGTTTGTTAAGCACATAACTACTAAGAAGGTTTACCTTTGGTGCACCATCCTTTTGTATCCCTACATCGTTAGTGGCAATTCCTTTTACACTACCATCGTCATGAAAAAGGACCTAAAAACGATAAAAACAAATTTATTAATACCTTAGAATTCATCATCATCTTGAAAAAACAGTAAACAGCCTTAGGTTTCTTAGAAGGTGAACATCTTCTCTAGATTACAGAAATACAGACTTTAAAATGTTCAGGCAATAAAGAGACATGTATTAAGGTACTCCCTTCTAGAGTATTAAAGAACAGAGCTCACACAATGGGAAATGAAAACAATGCCACAACCTTGATGAGAAAGAAAAGGGGAGACTACTAGAGAGATTACTAGGGAAACCAGTAAGATTAAACAAGAAGTGCCCTTCAGATGTCAAATCATGTGTAAAGAATCTGAAATGGAGGCCTGTAACAAATGAAGAACATGAAGGTGGAGAGAAAGAAGCTGTCAGGAAAGCTTATGTCTCAAATGAGTGAAGACTTCAATAAACAAAAAAATAAAGAAAACAAAACAGGGAGAAGCTGAAGACAGACCAAGGATGATAAAAGTTTATTTTATTTTTGGAGCAAGAAAAAGGGGGAAAATAGGTCAAAAGTGTAATTCTGATGAGGAGAAATAGCAATAGTCTGTAACCCTTGGTTTCTGTTTTCTCTGTGAAGGAAAATGCTCGTTGGATAGTAAAGTACAAAATGTACAATGCAATTACACAGCAGATTATAAGAAAGCATGGAAGTGGAGAGGTAAAAGAAAAGATTAGCAGCAATAGATATGAAACCTCCCCATAAAGAATATACATAAAGGTTTTATTTGATATCCTGAAAACGAACAAATCAGCAGCAGAATATGGCTAGAGACTAAACTGAAGTTTGGCTCAGAGTACTCTCAAAAAACCCTGGCAAAGAGATCAATAATCTGTTGATGATAATCATTAAGGACCTGAGAAAAAGAAGCATGATACAAGTGAGTCTGAGTGTTCATGTATGTATTCCAAAAGTGAGAGTCATGGATTCTATAAACCACCTACCTGTGACTGTGGCACTGATTCCAGTCAACAATGTCTAACAAGGAGAAATACAAAATCCCACACTTGGGTCCAAAAACCCAAATGCATGTATATGGGCTAGGAAAACAGAAATTTATAGCAGCAAGTATAGTACAAGGACCTATGTGTTTTATTTGACTTAAAAACTGTAAGGGTAAAAACAAACAAAAAAAAAAACGAATTTACTTAGCGCCAATAGCTTTTCTTTCAGCATTTCCTTTAGCAAACTTCCAACTGTAAATCCTTTATTTGTCTCTCTGAGATACATGGCAGTCTTTTTAAAGTGCATTCCAAGAATATCTTTTTTAGGGCTTTGGAGCCATTGCTTTGAAATGGAATACCAAGAAGGATGCCTCCTGTCTTCCTGTCTCTGTGGGAATTTGGGTAGGTGTTTGGCTTTAAGTTGTAACTTCCTGCTTGTCCAAAAAAAAAAAAAAAAACACCAAAATATTTTATTTTTCCTTTGAGTAAAGACAGTTAACATGCATGCAATGAATGGATTGTATCTGCCTGGCTATTTAAAAGGGTGAGATTTCTGTCTTGGCCTGTGATAGGCATCACAGTCTTGGTTTAAGGCTAATTCAAGAATAAAACTGTTTTGTTCTTTTTTTTTTGAGACAGAGTCTCGCTGTCACCCAGGCTGGAGTGCAGTGGCGTGATCTAGGCTCACTGCAAGCTCCACCTCCCGGGTTCACGCCATTCTCCTGCCTCAGCCTCACGAGTAGCTGGGACTACAGGCGCCCACCACCATGCCCAGCTAATTTTTTGTATTTTTAGTAGAGATGGTGTTTCACCATGTTGACCAGGATGGTCTTGATCTCCTGATCTCGTGATCTACCCGCCTCGGCCTCCCAAAGTGCTGGGATTACAGGCGTGAGCCACTGCGCCCGGCCTTTTTTTGTTTGTTTGAGATGGAGTCTCGCTCTGTCACCAGGCTGAAGTGCAGTGGCGCAATCTCAGCTCACTGAAACCTCCGCCTCCTTGGTTCAAGTGATTCTTCTGCCTCAGCTTCCCGAGTAGCTGGGACTACAGGCGCCCACCACCACGCCCAGGTAATTTTTGTATTTTCAGTAGAGACTGGGTTTCGTCATGTTGGCCAGGAGGGTCTCGATCTCTTGACCTCGTGATCCGCCCACCTTGGCCTCCCAAGTGCTGGGAGTACAGGCGTGAGTCACCACGCCCAGCCTGTTTCTTTCCTTTTTATAATTTATGAAGAGAATTCTTCTGGGTCCTAGGAGATTTTATTTTTTATTTTTTGAGATGGAATCTCACTCTGTCGCCCAGTCTAGAGTGCAGTGGCGTGATCTCGGCTCACTGCAACCTTTGCCTCCTGGGTTCAAGCGATTCTCCTGCCTCAGCCTCCCAAGTAGCTAGGATTACAGGCATGTGCTGCCATGTCCAGCTAATTTTTTGTATTTTTAGTAGAGACGGGGTTTCACTGTGTTAGCCAGGATGGTCTCGATCTCCTGACCTCGTGACCCACCCACCTTGGCCTCCCAAAGTGCTGGAATTACAGGCGCGAGCCACCACGCCCGCCCAAGATTTTATTTTTAATAATTTCCCCAGTAATACATAATAAGAATCAACAGTGTGATGTGGTTGCCAAAAAAGTAATTACTTTGAGGGAATCAATGGAAGACCATTTCTAGAATGGAGAAGATAACAGTTCTACACTAGACATGAAGTGGTTTATTCATTCTGGGTGCCACTTTGTAAAGGGGATAAAAAGAGGATCCATTCAGAAGTGGGCAGCAAGAATACTGAAAGAACTCAAAACTCAAATTATGTACCGTCATGGCTGAAAGAACTGAGAATATTTAAGCTAGTGTTGGGGCTCAGAACTGAGAATATTTAAGCTAGCTAGCAATGGGGCTCAGAAGATAATACCCTAAAAAGTATGGCACCCTGGCATGCTGAAGTTGAGGCTCAGAAACCGATATCCCAAAATATGGTGCTTTGACAAGCTGAACTGAAGAAGCTTCAGTGTCTCTCTGACCTTCCCCGGCCAACTGTCCCTGTCTCTTAATCCTCCCTCTCTCCCAAAACACAGGATGAAGCTGTTCTCTGAAGTTCCCTTATCTTCCTAAAACACGGGCCTACCAAAGAAGCAAACAATTACTTCTGGTCCCTTTCCTGAGTTTTCACGAACTGAACTCATACTGCAGGAAGAATGACTGAAGTCTGTCAATAAACTTGGACAGGCTTCTGTCAGAAACCAGTGTCTCCTCTCCAGGCTCAAGAGACTTTGTCCCAGGTCACTGTATATTCTTCAAGCCCATTGAATTCCCCTAAAAGTCTTTTACTATCCCCCTAAAGTCATCCATACTTCCCCATCTCCATTTCCCCTACCAAGAAAGGCATATAACTGTACCCCATTGTGTGGTAGGGTAATCACTCTGTAATATTCTCTTCATGCATGCTGATCAACCTGTATGCCTTTTCTCCTACTAACCTGCCTCTTGTGAGCTGATTTTTCTAGGAACCTTCAGAGGGAAAGAGGGATGTTTTCCCTTGGTACTCAGCCCTTATGCTGAGTACCTGGAACTGAAGGAAGAGTGGAAGACCTCAGAAAGAAGGTCTTTCTTACCTTCTCCCATTCCTCTTTCTCCCCTAAAGCAAGTCACAGAAACCAGGATTCCTCTTCCTCAATGTGAGTCATAGAAACTAGAACTCCTCTCCCTTAATACAGGCTATAAAACCTAGAAAGGTTATTTTCTTACTTCTCCCTTTCCCCTTGAAAACTCTCATTCCAGAGGATTTCTGCTCCAGTCATACCTCAGAGGAAGAAATGCTACACAGAAAGGCCAAAGAGAATGTGAACAGACAGGCCTTGCCTGGCTTCCTCTCTCAGTCTACTACCGTTAGATCATACCCTTCTGTCTAATCACATTTCCACATGGCTGTCCATTCTTATTGTACTGAAGCATGAAAATGGTTTCCCCTGGGTCTTTGGGGCCTTTATTTCTGAAGGATTTCATATCGTGTAAAACTTTGATTAAATAAATTTGTTATGTTTTTCTTGTTACCCTGTCTTTGTTACAAGAGTGTCAGCTGTGACCCTTACGATGGGTGAGGAAGGGTATCACACCTTTCTGCTACTGCGGCTCAGAAAACGATAGGCTAAAATATGCCACTCTGGCATGCTAAACCAAAGCAGCAGCTTCAGGGTGTCTCTGACCTTCCCCTCCTACTGTCTTTCAACCCTATCTCTTCTAAAGCACTGGATGCGGCTCTTCTCTGATATTCCATTCTCTACCTTAAGACTGGACCTGCCAAAGAGAATACATGGTCTTCCATCCCATTCCTGAAATCTTACTATTAATATCTATTGCAGAAAAGAAAACAGAAGAAAGCAACTACACCTAGACAAACACTTTTTCATAAGATCATGCCTGCCTCTCAGGCTAATTCAAATTCCAAAGAGAATCATTTACAAGTTAATTTCTGTGTCTTGGGTGCATTCATTCTCCCTAAAAATCATTCACTTCCTTTCAAGATTGCTGAACACCCAATTTTCCCTTCCCCTCTGATGAAGGGTAGATAAGCATTTGGACCTCTCTGGGTCATCGGGTCATCATTCTCTTGTGCTTATGCATGTTAAATAAATCTGTATGCTTTTTCTCCTATTACTCTCTCTCTTGTCAGTTCATTTCTGGTGAACCTTCAGAGGGCAGAGACAAACCTTTCCCTTAACTCCTATACCACCCCTACACTGGGGGGAGAAAAAATTCCAGAGTAAAGGTAGGGAGGAAGAGAGAGCAGGGAATAATTATATTTAGAAAGTTGTCCTTGGAAGAGGGCATAGATTTGTTCTGGATAGTATAAAACTGTAGATAAGTTCTGTTCAAAATAAGGAAGAGATTACCAACAATCCACAATTTTTCATCCCTTATCGTGATCAATCATAAGTTGGACAATCACTTGATGGGGGTACAACATGAGGAATTCAAGTACTCTTTGGATTAGATATTTTAAAGATTCCTTCTAATCTTATAATTCTAAAATCCTCTGACTTTTAAAAAATACTTATTTCTTCAACTTTGCAAAATTCTCCACTTATTAAAAAAGGAGTTCCTATAAATATTAAAAACAAAATAAAACTATACAAACCTCAGCAGCTGCATAACCAGGGTATACTTCAACACCAAGGGCTTCTGCTTGTTCGCCCATCCAGCTCACTAAATGTCCCAAGCGTACAATGTAATTGCCATGATTATTCATTGGAAGCCCTATAAATATATGCTTAATTTATAAATCTGACTTTTTATTGATAAGACATTACAAAAACATAAATACTTTAAAATCTCAAATCAGTATGTATTTCTACATAAGTGCTATATTGATGGTCACACCTTCAACTTATTTTCTACAATTTTGGCCTAGAGTTCTAATTTATTACATTACAGACAACATTAAAGCACTAAGTTAGAAATTCCTGCTTGGCTTACAAGGCTATCTCAATTCTTCTAGACTGGAAGACAAAAGAACTGAGTTCTAGTTCCGCTTTCCCACCAGCCAGCTGTATAGCTTTGAGTAAATCCTTCAAATATCTGGGCCTTAGGTCTCATCTGTGAAAGGAGGAAATTTTGCCAGATGAAATGTAGTTCCTTCCAGCTGTGGAATTCCATAGTTCTATGAATATTCACTATCCCTTACCTGGAAGAATTGGCACAGGAATTCTGTATTTCTCTGTTAAAATTCCAAATCTGTCTTCTGTTACAGGAGTGTTAAGTGGAGCCTAGAAATAAAAGAAGAAAAAGAAATGTTTTTAGTTTATATTTGCAAGTGTAAACATAAATATAAAAAACTATAAAATGTACTCTGATGACAAAAAAAAGACCTTCCCCCTAATTTTCTTTCGGCATTTCCTTTAGAAAACTTGTCACTGTAAATCCTTTCTCTGAGATGTATGGGAATCTTTTTTTTTTTCTTTTGAGACAGTGTCTTTTTCTGTCACCCAGGTTGGAGTGCAGTGGTGCAATCTTGGCCCACTGCAGCCTCTCCCTCCTGGGTTCAAGTGATTGTCCTGTCTTAGCCTCCCAAGTGGCTGGACTTACAGGCACCTGCCACCATACCTGGCTAATTTTTGTATTTTTAGTAGAGAGAGGGTTTCACCATGTTGGCCAGGCTGGTGTCGAACTCCTGACCTCAAGTGATCCACCCCGCTTGGCCTCCCAAAGTGTTGGGATTACAGGCATAAGCCACCACGCCCGGCCAGCTGGGAATCTTTTAAAAATCTAAATAAACCTCTTGCCAGTTTTGTATCCCAGGAATATATCTCTTGGGAGTCTTGGAAACATCTTTGAAACGTGACCATCATGTCTTTTTGTCTCTGTGGAGAGGTGCTTGGCTCTAAGTTGAAACTTCCTGGTTGGTGAAAGGTAAGAGAAATTTTATTTTCCTTTTGGATAAAGACAATTAACATGTTGTGACATTGTACCTGCTGAGTTTACATGTTAAAAGGCACCAAAGGCTGTGTGTGATGGCTCACAGGCCTATAGTCCCAGCATTTTGGGAGGCTGAAGCCCGTGGATTTGAGCCCACATGGGAAAATCCCGTCTGTACTAAAAAAATACAAAAATTAGCTGGGCGTGGTGGCGCACACCTGTAATCCCAGCTACTGAGGGGGCTGAAGTGGGAGAATTACTTGAGCCTGGGAGGTTGAGACTGCAGAGAGTCATGATTGTGCCACTGTACTCCAGCCTGGGTGACAGAGTGAGACCCTGTCTCAAAAAAAAAGGTGCCAAAGCAATAAAGGGCTTTAACATGGAAAACATTTTCTATTAGAATTGATATTATATCAATGTTAATTCAATAATATCCATTTCTGATATAATATCGAAAGGATAAATTCGATTGGGTCCAATTAAAGTATTTCTAGTTTAAGGGAGCTTGATATTTCAGAAAGGAGAGCACAGATGACATTTTTGGAATTCAATTTATTCCATATGGAAAGAATACAGATGATATTCATTTTTTTTTTAAATCTTTGCAAGTACATTCACAACCACTGAATAATCTAATCTTGGAGGTAGGACAGGTATAATATAACCTATCTTAGAGAAGAAAAAATTGACAGTCTAAGATTTTAACCAAATTCATACAAATTTTATTTAAGACAATAAAACTTGGACTTGGTCCTCTGGATATCACACCTGTGGTTTTTCTGCTTAGGTTCTCAGAAGCCATATTAATATGTTTCTTTAGAAAATATATCCTCTTTGGCTTTAGATATTGCATTGTCCCAGAAATCATTACTTTATTAAGAACAATCATACAAAGACTTAAAGAACAAGTTTAAAAATACTCTCAAAATACAAAATGCCTCCCAAGAAATATTCAAAGGTCTTCTCAAGTTATTATCTTCTCATATACCCATTACACAAATACACGTAGAAAGCATTACACAAAACTATTTGTTAATATCATAAATTATAATTCTGATATAAATTTTTTTTTTTAATTTAAAAAGTATATAATTAGTCCCTAAGATAGAGTTACACGGGCTGGGCGTGGTGGCTCATGACTGTAATCCCAGAGCTTTGGGAGGTCAAGGTGGGTGGATCACCTGAGGTCAGGAGTTCGAGACCAGCCTGGCCAACACAGTGAAATAGTGGAACCCTGTCTCTACTAAAAATACAAAAAATTAGCTGGGTGTGGTGGCAGGTGCCTGTAATCCCAGCTACTAGGGAGACTGAGGCAGGAGAATCACTTGAACCTAGGAGGTGGAGGTTGCAGTGAACTGAGATCGTGCCATTGCACTCCAGCCTGGGCAACAAGAGCAAAACTCTGGAATATAGAAAACCCTTTTCATGTAACTCCTGAGTTACATGAAAAGGGTTTTCTATATTCCAGTAATTTGGGAACAATTACTGAAATACAATTACAAAAGATTAGACTTTGTATAAAACACAATTTTTCATACTCCCTTCTCTTTCCAGTCTGGGAAGAGTTCTTTAAAAGCAGCTGGATCAAGGCAAGCCCCTGAGAGAGTATGAGCTCCTATCTGGGCAGCTTTTTCCACTAGACACACACGGATATCCTTTTCATGTGCCGCAGCCAACTGTTTTAGACGAACAGCTGCAGAGAGCCCTGCAGGGCCTGCACCAACTATTACAACATCCGCTTCTTCTGCAAACCTTTCCATGTTCACTCCTGGGAGAAATAAAAATTCTGGGATTAATATGACCCAATAATCACATGATAAATCACATGATAGTTAAAAAATATCCACTGTGCTTTAGAGCATTATTTATGGAAATTCTCCCTGTGTTTTGCACAATAATTATATTAAGCATATTACTGTATTAGTATGATCATATTCTTAGGTTCTGTTCCAGTATATACTTTATTTCAGTTTCCATAAACTAATTCTTGGCTTTGAGATTTATTATTATACATTTAGCGAATATTTACTTGTCTAAAATACAGTCACAAGTAGCTTAATGACAGAAGTGCTTTCTGAGAAATACATCATTAGGCAATTTTGCCCTTTTGCAAACATCATAGAGTATACTTACACAAACTAGATTGTATAGCCTATGATAACCTAGGCAACAGGGTATAGACTGTTACTCCTAGGCTACAAAGCTATATAGCATGTGACTACACTGCATACTGTAGGTAACTGTTACATAATAGTATTTATGTAACTAAACACATCTAAACACAGAAAAAGTACCAAATAAATACAGTATAAAACGTATATAGTATAAATAGAAATACATTATAAATACAGTATGGAAAGTACAAAACACAGTATAAAAGATTTAAAAATGTATGTCTGTACAGGGTACTTACCATGAATAGAACTTACAGGACTGGAAGCTGTTCTTGGTGAGTGACTGAGTGAGCAGTGAGAATGTGAAGGACAAGGACATTACACTACTATAGACTTCATAAACACTATACACTTAGGTCACACTCAATTTATACAAAAATATTTTTGTCAATGAATTAAACTTAGCTTACAGTAATGTTTTTAGTTTATAAGCTTTTAAATGTTTTAAACTTTTTAACTCTCTTGTAATAACACTTAGCTAAAACACAAACACATTGTACAGCTGTACAAAAAATGGTTTTTATATCATTTTTCTGTAAGCCTTTTTCTATTTAAAAATTTTTTAGACTTTGTATAAAAAACCAATTTTTCATACCCCCTTCTCTTTCTAGTCTGGGAAGAGTTCTTTAAAAGCACCTGGATCAAAGCAAGCCCCTGCAAGAGTATGAGCTCCTATCTGGGCAGCTTTCTCCACTAAACACATACCTTTTAAACCCTTTTATTAAAAATTAAGATACATCCCAGCATTTTGGGAAGCTGGAGTGGGTGGATCATGAGGTCAGGAGATCGAGACCACCCTGGCTAACATGGTGAAACCCCGTCTCTACTAAAAATACAAAAAATTAGCCGGATGAGGTGGCGGGCGCCTGTAGTCCCAGCTACATGGAAGGCTGAGACAGGAGAATGGCATGAACCTGGGAGGCGGAGCTTGCAGTGAGCCACTGCACTCCAGCCTGGACGACAGAGTGAGACTCTGTCTCCAAAAAAAAATAATAATTAAGACACACACACACACATTAGTTAGGCCTACACAGGGTCAGGATCATCAGTATCTTCCACCTTCACATCTTCTCCCACTGGAAGGTCATCAAAGACAATAACACGCACGGGCTGTCATCTCCTATGCAAATGTTAGCTTCTTCCAGAATACCTCCTGAAGGACCTGCCTGTGTCCATTTTACAGTTAACTTTTTAAAAAATTAAGTAAGAGTACACTCTAAAATAATGACAAAAGTACAATACAGTAAATACATAAACCAGTAACAGTCATTTATTATCATGTATTATGTACTGTGCATAATTGTATATGGTATACTTTTAAAGAACTGGCAGTAGAGTATGTTTGTTTACATCAGACTCACCACAAACAATTGAGTAATGTGTTGAGCTACGATGGTCTGGAAGCTATGTTCTAAAAGATGTCACTAGGTGATAGGAATTTTTCAGCTCCATTATAATGTCAAGGGATTACCATCATAAATGTTGTCAAGTTGTTGACTGAAGTGTCATTATGCAGCACGTGACTTGGTAAAGCCATAAAATATTATTGGATGTTTTTAAGTTATGAAAAGTATTATACTCTCCTCCACAAAATGAAACAAAGTATCCAGAAAAGTCTCAGAAATTGTACACAAATTATTACTTACCTTCCCATCTCTTGTCCTTATCCCGGGGATAAATAGTATAATGGGTAGTAATTCGAGGCACAGTAGAAGTTGAAGACCATCTTGTAGCACACAGAGGTAGATAATTTTTCTTAATTTTTAAGGCATGAAAGCACCGATATGCTGCACAAAAATTATGAAAATTATCATCTTCCTTAAAATTAGTTTTCCTCAGTAGACTGAAAAAATATAAGTGAATATTTATAAATATTCATATATATAATAATAAAAATATAAATGAGTATAGTGAATTAGACTATAATCTTTCCTAGGTGAACAATTTGAATAGCTTTTTCTCATAAAGCAATGTTTTCAAATCTTAAATATTTTAAAACTAATAAACAAATTTATTCAATTTAGCTCATGTCAGGCTTAACTATGGATTAGTCATGAAAGCTGAACACTTTGAGAGTAATACAGAGTAGTATAGTAACTGTGTAGGTCAATGGCTTTAAGCACAAACTTGGTTTTATGGTCAGGTTCTTTTTAAAATAAGTTGACCTACATACATGGCAGTAGCCGCTGCTGCTTCTTTTTTTTTTTTTTTTTTTTTTTGACAGAGTCTTGCTCGGTTACCCAGGCTGGAGTGCAGTGGTGCAATCTTGGCTGACCACAGCCTCTGCCTCCCGGTTTCAAGCGATTCTCACGCCTCAGCCTCCAGAGTATCCGGGACTACGGGTGTGTGCACCACCACACCCAGGTAATTTTTGGATTTTTTTTTTTTTTTTTAGTAGAGACGGGGTTTTGCCATGTTGGCCAGGCTGGTCTCGAACTCCTTGCCTCAAGTGATCTGCCTGCCTCAGTCTCCAAAACTGCTGGGATTACAGGCGTGAGCCACTGTGCCTGGCCACAGTATCTTCTGATATCCTTAAAAATGTGTACATTTTTGAGTCAGCAAAAAGTATTTTATGGAAATGAACAGAAATGTGCAAAGATTTATCTGCAAAAATGTTTACTGAACCTTCTCTGCTGTCCTCAAACCTTCACCTCTACCTTTTCTTTCCCTTATCCAGGGCAGGTACCCTAGCATCAAACCTCATAAAGACAGAGGCAATTAGATGGGAATTTTCTCAGCTCCTTGGCAATAACTTCTAATATAATCTGTATTTGTGCCCATACTTTGTTCATTATCTCAGTTTATAGCAGAAAAGATGTCTTTTCTCCCATTGATTATACTCAGTGAATATAGTGAAGCAGACTATATTCTTCCCCACTGGGGTTAATCTTTCTAGCTGGATGACGAGGCTTATCTCTCCCGTTCCTCCATCTGATCCCCTCCCTTCTGATCTTCAATTTTGACTCCCTTCTCAACCTCTGTTCTCCTTGATAATCATCCCTATCATTAAAAAAAGACAGAGAATCCTCCCATGAAACCACTCTTGACAGATATAAAAACCTATATTTGAAGCTATATTCATTAGAAGTCTGTTATAGGAGAAGAGATAGAATAATAATAAAAAAAATAAAGACTTCAGAAATAGTACACATACATATATGATATATAATAAAGATATCATTTTAAATTAGGGAGAAGAAATGGTTACTCATTAAATGGTGCAGAGATAGCCAGAAAGTCATTCAGGAAAAAAGTATACTCTGCTCCCTATGTCAAAATGAATTCTGTTTGATCGAAGATTTTATTAGGGAAAGTTCAAAGTATAGAAGACTATGGTGGGCTGGGCACAGTGGCTCATGACTGTAAATCTCAGCTAAGGCAGGAGGACTGCATGAGGCCAGGAGTTCAAGATCAGCCTAGGCAATACAGCAAGACCTCTTCTCTACAGAAATAAAAAATAAAAAGTAAAAAAATTAGCTAGGTGCGGTGGTATGCACCTGCAGTCCTACCTACTCAGGAGGCTGAGGTAGGATGATCGCTTGAGCCCAGTAATTCGAGGCTACAGTGAGCTAGGACCATGTCACTGTACTCCAACCTGGGTGACAAGCACTTTTGTCTCAAAAAAAAAAAAAAAAAAAAAAAAGCTGGTGATATATCCATAAATCTTTCAGTTTTCTCCTCCCTTTGAGTGGTGTGGGATGAACTTACTGGGTAGCTTCTAACAAGTAGAGAATGGAAAGTGAAAAATGTTAACTTCACAGTAGAGAAATATGGCAGATACCACTTTAAGCAAGTGATCAAGTTTAACGCTACCAGCAATAAGACATATTGATACCATGTATCCCCTGATATGATGTGGTGAAAAGGGTTCTTCACCTCTGTGGTATTTATCCCCAAAAATCTTTAACCTCAGTCTAACCATGAGAAATCATCAGACAAACTCAGATTGAGGGACATTCTAAAAAAATGCTTGACCAGTACATATCAAAAGTGTAAAGGTCTTGGGACACAAGAAAACACAGGGGAACTGTCAAATTGAAGTAGACTACGGAGACCTGCCAACTAAAGGCAATCTTGTGCCCTGGACTGGATCCTGGACCAGAAAAAGAAGATCTGAATAAAATCTGTAGTTTAATTAACTTTATTTCATCAATGTTAATTTTTTAGTTTTGATAAATATACTATGGTTATATAAGACATTAAGCTCAGCAAAGGGCATATGGGAACTCAGTACTATCTTTGCAACTCATCTGTAAATCTAAAACTATTTCAAGGTTAGAAGTTGAAAAAAAGATTATGGTGATAAGAAAGATCAAACCCAAATATAAGAGCTAAAACCATAAAACTTTTTGAAGACATGAGTGTAAATCTTTGTGACCTTGTGTAAACCAAAAATAAAATTCTGAGCCCCTAAACCAACTGAATGGACTCTCCTCTTGGCCAAGGGGATTCCAAAGAAACGCAAAAAAGTAGTTCACGCCATGATGGTAAGTGGGGGGTCAGACGTGCCTCATTATACCCTGTCCCTTTTGGAGTTAAGACATAACTGACCACCATTAACATTAATATCAAAATCCTACGACTGACAGAACAGACTCTTTGTAGCAATAAGATAACAACTCCAACCTGACTCTGGTATAACATCACATGACAACAGGCCCTAGAAGAAATCAAAGTATTGTGCCCCAAAATATATTTCTTGGACATAATTTTTGGATTGGCCCTGTAAAGCTGTCTCTTGTGAGGAAAATTTACATTCTGTGGAGAATTCTCTTCCCTTTCTAGGCCTTTTCCTGATCTAGAAGAGATTTAACTAAGAGTCTGATACATTTTAAGGCAAGTTTGTCCAACCTGGAGCCCATGGGCAGCATGTTGCCCAGAATGCCTTTAAATGTGGCCCAACACAAATTCGTGAACTTTGAGATGTCCTGCCTTTCCAGGCCAAGCCAATGTAAACCTTACATGTATTGATAATGTCTTTGCCTGTAACTTCTCTCCCTAAAATGTATAAAATTAAGCTGTAACCCAACCACCTTGGGAACATGTTCTCAGGACCTCCTGGGGCTGTATAATGGGTCATGGTCCTCACATTTGGCTCAGAATTAATCTCTTCAAATAGTTTACGGAGTTTGGCTTTTTCATCAACACTTGGGCTAGGCAATGGTTTCTTTGATAGAACAACCAAAAACACAAGCAACAATAAAAAATACAGTTAAATTGCACTTCATCAAAATTAAAACCTGTTGTGCGCCAAAGGATACCATCAAGAAAGTGAAAAGATAGCCCATGGAATGGGAGAAAATATTTTCAAATCATATATCTGATAATGGACTTATATTTAGAATACATAAAGAACACCTATATCTAGTAATAAAAAGACAAATAACCCAATTAAAAAGTGGGCAAAGGATCTGAATAGACACTTGTTCAAAGATGATATACAAATGGCCAATAAGTACATGAAAAGATGCTCAGCAGCATTCGCCATCAAGGAAATGCAAACCAAAGACACATGAGATACTACTTTATATCCACTAGCATGGCTATAGTCAAGAAGACAAGCAATAATAAAATCACCTTTGCAAAACTTATAACAGATACAATTATTACAGTGAAAGAGATCTGACCTAACTGAGTTTAATTGTGAAACAAAGACAATCACAGCCCTTTCCCAGGACAAACCCCCTTCCTTCCTGGGGACCAGACTGTCTTTGCAGGACTAACAAATTAGCCACAAGATTAGAAATTATGGTTTAAGAGTCATGCAGCTGGAGGTGGCAAGATTCTGAACCTTCCCAAAGTGTTCCTGGCGATAACATCACTATTGTAAAATCTAGGATCACTACTGGAGATATTTTGCAGATCCTGCACTTGATGGATCAGCTGGCATCACCCAGATCAATGAACTGGCTCATCTGGTCGTGTGGCTCCCACTCCGGAACTGACTCAGTGCAAGAGGACAAACTCATCTCCCTATGATTTCATCTCTGATCTGACCAATTGGCACTCCCCATTTTCTGATCCCCCCTACACATCAAATTATCCTTAAAATCTCCAGTCTCCAAGTTTTCGGGGAGACTGATTTGAGTAATAATAAAACTATGGTCTCTTGTACAGCCGCCTCTGTGTGAATTAAACTCCTTCTCTATTCTAATTATCCTGTTTTGATAAATTGGCTCTGTCTGGGTAGTGGGCAAGGAGAACCCCTTGGGCAGTTTCAATAACAAGAGTTAGCAAGGATGTGGAAGAACTGGAACCCTCATATACTCCTGGGGGAACGTAAAAATGATGCAGTCTCTTTGAAAAACAGTCTGGCAGTTCCTCAAAAGGTTAAACATGGAGTTTTCATATGACCCATTCCTAAGTCTATCCCTAAGATAATGAAAACATACTTCCACACAAAAACTTGCACATGAATGTTCCTAGCTGAACTTTTTCTTTTTCTGTTTTTTTTTGATACAGGGTCCCACTCTGTCACCAAGGGTGGAATGCAGTGATGTGATCATGGCTTACTGAAGCCTTAACTTTCCAGGCTAAAGTGATCCTCCCACCTCAGCCTCCTGAGTAGCTAGGGCTACACGTGCATGCCACCATGCCTAGCTAATAGTTTCTATTTTTTTGTAGACAAGCAGTCTCACTGCGTTGTGTAGGCTAGTCTCGAAATCCTAGGCTCGAGCAATCTGCCTGTCTCAGCCTCCCAAACTGCTGGGATTACAGGTGTGAGCCACCACAGCTGGCCAATAGCTGAATTATTTATAACAGCCCAAAAGTAGAAACAACCCAAATGTTGATCAATAAATGGTAAGAAGGGATATATCCAAATAATGAAATATTTAGCAATAAGAAGAAATTGAATACTGATACATGCTACCACATAGAAGAACTCTGAAAACAAAATGTTATGTGAAGGAAGCCAGTCACAAAAAGACAACATAGTATGTGCTTCCATGTATACGAAATATTCAGAATAAGGTAGTCTATAGAGACAGAAAGTAGATTAACTGTTGTCTAAGGCTGGAAGGGGCTTGGGAGTGAATACAGAGAGTTTCTTTTTAGGGTGATAAAAGTGTTCTAAAATAGATTGCAGTGATGGTTACACAACTCTGACTATACTAAAAAACCACTGAATTGTACACTTTAAATAGTATATATTGTATGGTTTGTGACATATCTTATTAAAGTTTATTAAAGCTGTTATAAAAAAGAACATTTATAGCCACACACAAAAATGTTATGAAGAAAACAGGTAATTTTTTTTTTAGAATCTAGGATTTTCAAAGTTATTTTCTAAGAATGATAAAAATCTAAGAAGTTATAATATCACTAGACTAAAAATTTAAACCATTTATGTGACCAAAAAAGGGTAAAAATATAAATGTCTTTAGTTATCTGTATTCTCCAGCAGATAGCACACTCCAAAAGCACTGACCTTGTTGTACGTGAAAACCTAATGTTAGGTATACATATTTGTTGACTAAATATTAGATAGTCGTTTTTGTACTTCCCTTCACTAGAGCATTCATTTATGATTGACACATGGTACTATAAAAGATTAATGCTTTTCAGAGTCATTTTCTGTGAAAAGGCAAATCTTTTAGACAATAAAAATCTGTTTGGTCATCTTTTTAAAAAGTGGCAAAGAAATGAATTTACTTATGCATACTAAAAACTAGAGCATTGGGGCCAGACGTGGTGGCTCATGCCTATAATCCCAACATTTGGGAGGCTGAGTTAGGAGGATCACTTGGGGCCGGGAATTTGAGACCAGCCTGGCCAACGTGGCAAAACCCCGTCTCTACTAAAAATACAAAAATTAGCCAGGCATGGTGGTAGGCGCTTGTGATCCCAGGTACCAGGGAGGCTCAGGCACGAGAATCACTTGAACCCGGGAGGCAGAGGTTGCAGTGAGCTGAGATTACATCACTGCACTCCAGCCTGAGCAACAGAGCAAGACTGTTTCAAAAAAACCTAAAAAACAAAAAAACCCAAAAAAACTATAATATTGGGAACACTTTTTAAGCCTTAGATAACTATTCACCTATCCTAAGTTTTGAAAAAAAAAGTATATTAAATACATAAAGATATTCTAGAACTCAGTTCAAGAGTTCAAATACACTATAATGAATATTTAAAATACTTAGTTTTCAATGCATTGTAGTTTAGTGTATAGAAGTTATTTACTTCTGAAAACTGATGATTGACATATGACGAACTGTATTTCTACTGCCTGTATAGCTACTGATTTTCTTGAGACTATTTGGAACTGTGTAGTCTGAATTTCTCCAAAGGACTGGAAAAAAAAGTCACAACCTTTACCCCTTTTCTGAAAACACATCTGATATCTCACTTTAGAGATTTAAATATTCAGTCTCCTTGGTTGAGAAGAGAGGTCACAAAGTCCAATGAACTCATAGCATCACCATATCAAAGTCACACTGCTGGCACATTGGTGTCTACCTCTTTCATGCCAGCAGGCTATGAAAATGGCAATGAATTGCCATCCAAAGAAAACAGAAACGGTAGTGGAATTTGGTTAGCACTGGGCTCAAGGCTGATTGCACCTGACTACTGTTCCAAACACCATCTTATCCATACATTAAGTGCAGCAAAAAATGCATGGGCGACAGGAAACTTAAACAAAGTTCTAATTCCTTAATATATGGAAGCCAAATCTAACAAAATCCTACTTTCACGAAATTTCATAAGAATATCCTTGAATTTTTAATATTTATACTTATTCTACCACCAACACTTAAGTAAACTAAAGATTTTTAAAAAATAAAGCCAGTTATGACAGAATATGAGATCCTTTAGGGAACTTTTCTGTTTGAATTAACGACAACAACAAAAATTTAAGTAAAACTTTAAAAAGACCATCCAACTTCATCTGTCATGATGGTTCAAAGAATACCCATAACACGATAAGGCCCTTAGAGTTAATTTTATTTTATTTTTTTGAGACGGAGTCTGGCTCTGTCACCCAGGCTGGAGTGCAGCAGTGCGATCTCAGCTCACTGCAACATCCACCTCCAGGTTCAAGTGATTCTCCTACCTAAGCCTCCAGAGTAGCTGGGATTACAGGCGTGGGCCACCACGCCCAGCTAATTGTTGTATTTTTAGTAGAGATGGGGTTTCAAAATGTTGGCCAGGCTGGTCTAGAACTCCTGACCTCAGGTGATCCACCCGCCTCGGCTTCCCAGAGTCCTGGGATTACAGGCGTGAGCCACCGCGCCCAGCCCTTAAAGTTAATTTTAGACAATGCAGAAAATCTCCTGGTTCCAGATACACTCAGGAGACTTGGTCAACATATGAATGTCAACCATGATGTGACAGATCAGACTTCAATTTCTTTAGACTGAACTAGGACGGCTGCGAAGACGAAAGTCAGGTCAGGACAGGGAGAAAAATTGGGCAAATACGATTTTTTTTTTTCCATTTCCAACAAAGGTTTGAGGATTAGAACCAGGATTCAGGAGTCCACCGAGGTATGTGTGTGTTGACAGGTGGTGGTGGTGCGGAGGACGTGTTGACAAGTTTTCCCCGCCCTTGACCTTTAGCCTAGATATTAATTCTTCCAACTGGGGCAACCGAGCGAGGAAGACAGGGTCCACCACCAGACTGACAGAGAGTGACCTTTGCCCTAGATAGCCTGAGAAAGCTGATGAGAGAAGGTGCGAGAGGTGCCTACAGCCCCCAGGACCGGCCTTGTCCCTTTTGCCCTAACTCCTCCACTTAACCCCACCGCCCATTCCCTCTCACCCGGGCAGGACAGCTTGGCTAGCGGCACCAGCATGTTCAAAGTCACCAGGACTCTCGGTCGGACACAACAGGACTGTCCGCTGCTCGCGGCGGGCGCAGGACCTCTAGGCCGCGGGGGGCGCCATCACCTGCCGGAAAGCAAGAACTCTGCTGCAGTTCGCCTCCCCGCTCTGCTGACCGCTCTTGCTTCACTGCGTTCCCGCCTCCTTCTCACTCTGCGCCGGCGCCATGGATGACGCGACGGCCAGCCGAGGCTTCCGGGTCATGTACCAAACCAGGGAAAGATAAGGGACTCCAAGTCCCAGCCGGGGCGCGGTGAAACAGCCAGACCGCGGCCAGAGGGGTCCACGAATCCCACACCACAACACACGCGCAGTGAAAGGCAGTAGAAGGCGGGGCGACGCGCACGGCTTCCTGGGAGGTGTAGTCTTCTATACGCGCGCCCTTCGAGCCCCACTGGAGGCTCGCGCAGGAGCCGTGAGCGGCCTAAGGTGAATTGACTCATATGATTGGCTGTCCCGAAAAATGAAAAGTCTTTGTGGTCCAGGGCTGAGACCCACGAGGAGACGGGGCGGGATTTCTGGCGCTAAGAGGCGGGGCTTCTCGGCTTTGGGCGCGAGTGGTTAAAAGACAGTTGGTGTCGGTTCGGCTGCTCGGGTCGGATTCCGAGGTCCCAGCCCTTCCCCATGGCAGACGCTGAGGAGTTGCAGGTTTCTTCGCCGCCGCCGCCGCCGCCTCCCTCTTCTCCCTCCTCTTCAGACGCCTCTGCAGCATCTTCCCCAGGCGGCCCAGTGAGTTTGGGCTGGCCAGTTCCGAGCAGGAACAGCGGCCGAACGGTGGACCCGCTGGAGGAAGTGGAGCTGCAGATCGGAGATGTGAGTGTGGTGTCGGGACCGCGTCCCCCCTCGGCGCCTCTGGGAAGACAGGCGGCGGCGGGGCTCGCAAGGCTAGGGAGTCCCCCAATCCCCACGACCCGGGACGACCGGCCCTTCTGCGCCCCAGAGCGTGCGTGCGGGAAGCCGGGAGGACGCCAGCAGCTGAAGTGCTACCCCTTTCTGAGGGTTCCCCCTTTAGATTTGGTGGTGAGGAGTCTTAAGGGGTTATCCCTCCTCCCGCCCCACCCCTTACTGGTTTCTTTTTGTCTCGCCTTCTGGTTTCAACCATCCGCAGTAACCCGAAGCCACGCAGCTCTGTGCTGCCTGTTGCTGGCTCTCTTTGCCTCTTCTCCCATTGGAGAATAGTTTTCACTGCATGAGTTTGCTGGCTGGCTGTGGGTGCTTAGGATCAGGCTGTGATTTCTTTCCATGGGACTTAGAGCCTGCTGTTCTAGTTGGCTACTTGCCCAGGGACAGCTGATAATGCCATTGTCTGCCCCAGGTCTGCTTAGCGCTGGACCCAGCTTGAAGGGTATAGGTCACGTGGATTGGCTTCATTGACGGTTTAGTTCAGGACTCCTCCCTTTGTATGATTGCTAGAATACATACTTAGGATAGTTTCTATTAAATCTCGAATCCCCAGAAACTAGCATCGCACCTCCCGACCCTAACTCACACACCACTGGAGGGGAGAAGACAGGGAAGGGGAGTTTTATGTTCTCTTGCGTGGGTCAAGTGGAATGAGGTATGTAGGGTGTAACCTTCTGGGAGAGTTCTGTGGCCTGACCTTTCCTGCAGATTGGAAACTAGGGGATGAACCAGATTATCTCATTGCTTCCGCAAGTATTTTTTTAAGGATGACTAAAGTGCTTATCCAGCTTTTATTTTTGCAGAACAAACTGATTGCAAGTAAATATGTAGAATGAAGTGCTAATGTGTTATTTAGAAACAATGTTTTATTTTATATCATCGGTGAAGAAAATGTTTGGCTGAAAAGTGAATTTTCCACCAGGAGCTGAGTGTTTTCTGCATTTGTGTGTGATTTTTTGATGTTATTTGTCAGAGCTCAGAGTTTCTGTTCTTTGATCTATACATTTTCATTGTTTGAAGTGTTCACAGGTCAGTGCCCATGTTACCCAAGTAGCAGTAAGAATTATTTATGATGAAATCCCTCAGATACTGCTGGCACTTAGTGTCAAGGGGTCCAAGTTATCTTGTTGAGCTGAGACTCCAGTGTATTTTCATAGAAAACAACAATACTGGACCAAGGGCTGTGGCTCATGCTTGTAATCCCAGCACTTTGGGAGGCCGAGGCGGGCGGATCACTGAGGTCAGGATTCGAGACCAGCTTGATCAACATGGAGAAACCCTGTTTTTACTAAAAATACAAAATTAGCCGTGCGTTGTGGCGCATGCCTGTAATCCCAGCTACTCAGGAGGCTGAGGCAGGAGAATCGCTTGAACCCGGAAGGCAGAGGTTGCAGTGAACCAAGATCACGCCATTGCGCTCCAGCCTGGGAAACAAGAACGAAACTCCATCTCAAAAAAAGAAAAAAAAAAAGAAAAGAAAAAAAAAACAATACTGATTTGTCATGTCTCAGACATAATGGATATTTTTCTAGCAGACCTGTTTCTTCAAAGTCTACTCAATATTAAATAATTTTCTTAGGTTCCGTGAAAGAGCCAGTGCTTTAGTTTGAACATTGATTACTTTTAAAGAAAATAACATGGGCATTGGATTCAAAGCCTTAAGCTTTTTTAGACTACTTATAAAATGAGATGAGAATTTTAAAAATAAAATTATGTCTGAGTTCTTTTTTGTTTGTTTTAGGCAGCCTTTTCATTAACCAAACTTCTTGAAGCCACATCTGCAGTATCAGCTCAAGTGGAAGAACTTGCCTTCAAATGTACGGAAAATGCACGATTCCTTAAAACATGGCGAGACCTCTTGAAAGAAGGCTATGATTCTTTGAAACCTGATGACTAATTTGGCATACTTCGTTGTTTAATAATGACTGCAATTATTCAGACTTCTTATGTCATATTTGTACATGTACCACACGTATAGAATGACCTCTGTCCAGGAGTTCTGTATATACTCAGAATGAAATTTTTCTTGGTTTTCTTGGCTTTTGTGAAAGCAGAATACCGATGCTGTTTTTGTTGCGGACCAGTACTTGTTTGTCCTTAAATACTTTATGCCTCTGAACTTTCATAGAGTCCTTTATGAAAGTTAACTTCATCAATAGACGGTTAATATTAATAGAGCCACAGTGCTACCATTAGCAAACGAGGTAGACCATTATTTGTTTTGCAACAAGATGCTAAGCATGGCAGAGTTTGAAATTGCGTTTCATCTTAAAGACCAAAGGAGGTAACTTTAAGGTTGCCAGTGGTGGATCCAGCTTCATTAGGCTAAGTTGTCTACAGCTAAGGATTGTGTCTTTATTCTATATCCCCAGCACCTAAAACAGGTTCACACAGCACTCACTGAATGTTTGTTGAATAAAAGAGTTAACAAACATAATTAAAAGCTTTTTTCTTCCTATATTCAGCATGAAGACTGTCATAGTTTCTTTAGAAAATGTATGAATCTGAACTTTATTGACTTGAAGAAAAACATTCTTTTTTTACAGAGATTTGGACTTTGATGATAGGTTTTAAAATATATGATAAATACTTTTTGTACTTTTTTTTTTTTTAAAGACTTCAGAAAAAGGAGACTGTCTAGAAAGAATGCATATTTTTCCCCTATTTATTTCTGTGGTTACTGCTTTTGCAGTTTAACCGTGTTTGTATTTGGTATTTGTATATGTTTGATGGCTATTTTTAAGGTGCCTTATCAGATTTATGGCTCTGTGCTATTACTTTTTGAGCTTTGCAAGTTGTGTACATAATAATTCTAAAGAAGTTACTTTGTTTGCAATGCATCAAATTTAAATGATGTGATTTTTTTTTTTTTTTGGATTATTTGACCTTAGTGACAGTGTTCTATTTTGCATCTTGTATGTTATGTTGCTTTTGGTGTTTTGTGTTGCATGTCAACGATTAAGCCAACTAATTCTCCACCATATATAACTTCTGGACATCTTTGATACAACATCTTAATTCTTTGTAGATATGGAGATATGTATACAACTATATTCTAACGCCCAGCAATGGGGCTATGAGAGGGGACAGATGGATGGGCAAAGAATAGTTTTGTTTAACATATTAGGTCATAGTTCTTGATTAGTTTTTTTAGTTAAAGATCGTACATAGGGTGTGACTTCTATACCAAAATGCTTATTTCAGTATTAGAGAAATATTCTTACATGCCCTGAAATATGCTTATTTCACTATTAGAAAAATATTCTTACATGTCCTGAAAATTGCAGTTTTTAAAATGTGTAAAAATAAATGCTTATTAAAAGCACATTTTATTTCCATTTCTTTGGATTCATTACCTTAAAACTTTTTACTGACATATTTCAAAGATACAGGAGAGGTAAATGAGTTCAAGAAAATCCATGTATTTCTACCATGCAGATGTAATAAATGTCAGGATTTGGCTATATTTTCTTCAGACACACATATATATGTAATTGCAAATATTAGATGCATTTGAAGTTCGTTTTGTTACCTCTTTGATCCTGTCCCCTTCCTCCCGCCCTAGAGTCCCCAGAGGTAAACTCTAGAGGTGGCATATATTCTAGCGTGTGTTTTTATATTTTTAATACAAATATATTTTTTAAAAGCGCTATAAAATATTGTTTTATGTATGTGGTAGCCAACCTCCAGATGGCACCAGTGATCCCTGGCCTCCTGGTGTTCATGCCCCCGTATAGCCTTCTCCTGCATTTTATAGTGCTGACTTTTGTAACTACCAGGATATTGAGCAAGTGCAGTGTGTGATTTCTGAGGCCATATCTTTTACTCCTTTTTTTTTTTTTTTTTTTTTTTTAAGAGACAAGATCTCACTCTATTGCTCAGACTGAAGTGTGGTGGCAGGATCATAGCCCACTGTAACCTTAAACCTGGACTCAAACGATCCTCCCATCTCGCCACCTCCTAAAGCACTGGGATTACAGGCATTTTTGCTCATTTTTCTCTTTTGTTTTTTTACTTGTCTGTTTTTAGATATTACATATTTTGAATGTTAATAATCTGTTATTAGTATTGAATACTAATATCTGTTATTGAATAAAAGATATTCAACTATCTTTTTTAGTCTGGTTTCTCTTCATATTTTGGTTATGAAATCTTGATTTTTAAAATTTTAATGTAATCTTACCAATCTTTCATAATGATTTGCTTTTTCTGGTTTTTGTATAGGAAATGTCATAAAAATAGTCTTATTCAGCCTTCCAAAAGTTACAAAATTTTTGTTTTTAACATTTAGATGCTTAGTCCAACTGAAATTTGTTTTCGTTTATGGCATGATTTTGGAATCTTGTTTTAATTATTTTTGCACATTTATAGCTGTTCCTCTGAGTATCATTGT